CATAAGCATTTTTCCTTTCGCCTCATCGATGCAGTGGGACCCGTTATTTGAACCGGAAGCTGAGGGATTTTAATATGGAAAAAAAAAAAGAGAGTATTTTCTGATCAGAATATAAAATCTTGTGGCAGCTTTCTTTTAGACAGCTAGGTACGAATTGTTACGTTTGTTATATAGAAACGATGAGGTGATAGACTTTTTTGCTATCATCTTAGGCAACGTCCTGGTCCTATGAATCACCGCAGTCCCACTGAAACTTGCTGATTTACACTTTCCAAGTGCCTTGAAATTAGCATCACAGTGTTTTCTTTTGGACGGAGAGGGGAGTGTTGTTTCACAGTTCCCTCTGAAAAACAATCACATAGAAATAGCATCCCAGGACTTTACATTTATTATGTCCCCGTGATTTCTATGTCCTGTATGCTCAGGATCTGTTTTACAGACAAAAGGATGTTCCATGCGAGCTCAGGAGATACGCTGTGCTTTTGATTGAGAACTTGTGCTCTGAGTTCTTTTCCTCTTGTACCTGACTATCAATAACGAGTTTGGAAGCTAAAATACACTCTGTGTCACAGCCACGCTAGGACAACTCCATTGCCTGGCAGGTGTTTGTTGGCTCTGCTTAACTGTGCCGGTTCTGCTGAGCAAGGGCACCTTCGGGTCTGGGTGGACACATCTCTCCTGTGCATCCCTGCTCTTGCATAAACCTCTGAGCCCAGAGCTGCTCCTCAGAGAGATGCTCCTTCCGCGCCGCGACCGTGCGGAGCAAGAGCTGCAGTTAAGGCAGCGCCAGCGGAGTCCCGGGAGGGAAGGACTAATAGGTTCATTAATAGAGGTCGTGCGAAGAAGGGTCGTGAGGGCTCCGGGAGAAAAAAGTCCATGCCCATGCTGGTGTTGTTTCACAGCGAAGGCAGCGCTCCCCGACCGGCGCTGGGAGCCCGGCGGGACTCGGGGCGTCCTGGGACGCGGAACCGGCCGCCGCCGCCTTCTGGAAGGTCTCCGCTGCCACCTACTGATAACAAACTGCTGGCCCCGACACCTCCCGGAGAAAGGAGCCACCGACCAGCCTCCGCCTCCTTCGGGTCAGGCTTTTAATTTTCCACTGTGCAAAATAGCTGGAAAAGTGCTAAATACTAGGACCGAAGGGAGCACCATTAGGAGAAAAAAAAAAAAAGAAAAAAAAAGAAAAAAGGGAGACCGGCTTTTCTTTTTTATTTTTTCCACCCAGCCTCTAACCAAAGCTGGTTTCATTAAACTATTAAACATTATGCAACGTTTGTACAGCTTAATTACAACTTTTTAAAACAAGCCGAATGCAACCTTTTTCGTGGCAATAAAACATGACGAGGCATGAAAGATGGTTCAATACTTTCTGCCTTAATAGCTTGTTAGGCATGAGGCGAGAGGCCGAGAGCTCGTGACTACGCAGCAAGGTGTGAATTATTGCACCATAATTCTTGCCCTCGAGTGTTTTATTGCAATTAATAACTGTTTTCATGTTTTAAATACATTTTCTCACACCATAAAAAGCAGAAATGGAAAGTACTTGCTAATGGGAGAAATACCGGGTGGACTGGGCACAGACCTCCAACTGCAGCAACTTCCTTGGTTTCATGCTATTTTGATCTGCTTTTAAATAATTTTGGAATGCTGTTTGGCTTTAGAACTGTGTGGACCCAAAGCCCTGTTATTTCCCTTTGTTGAAGTAGCTCTTCCTGCAAATGTCTTCACAGATACTCTGAGCTGAGAAGCAGGTCCCATTTATTTGCAGCATATTTTCACCAAATCAACTTCCGCCACACAAAGCCACATATTCACTTCCCTGTGCCAAGCCACTAACTTTTGAGATGCACAATTCTTTTATTTTGAAAGCAGAGAAGAGATGCATTCGGAGTTTGCTGCCTTTTTGTGTAGCCTAGTCCTGTGGCAAATTTGAACCCTTTCCAGTTTAATTTTAGGTAACCTGTAAGCTGAAGAAAAGCAGATATCACAAAAATAAAATGCTATTTGAGGCCCCTGATCCAGATCCTACTGAAGCTGCTGGAAACGCAAACCTTTCTTTTACTGGGAGCTGAGTCTGCCTCTTGATACTGAAATGGTGCTATAAAAATGCTATCACGATGTTTTTCTCCCCTTGTTATTAAAAAACTATGAAGGTCATGCTTGGAGTTAGTCAGCACAACCTGCTTTAATACACATATATAATATAATGCACTATATTAACATCACTGAATAGATTGCAGCAGTCTGGTGTCAAAAAGCCAATCTTTAAGAACAAACACAGGGACTGGGAATACTGGTGCCAAGATGGAAAATTGATTGGTAGGTTGAACCTTCATTTAAGAAAGGCTTAATGGGATGAGGAGATTAATAATGGGGATCTCTTGGGCTGCCTGTCACTGTTTCAAGTACTCCAGAAGTCAGTAATAATAGCAAATGGATGAGGCAGGTCAGATACCCTGGTAGTCTCTCTCTGGCTGTTGCAAGACACGTACTTGATCCATTAGCCAGTTCCTTGTCGGGACACAGCACAAAGCTAATTCTAGTACCGCTGAAAGAAAGAATCCCTATTTCAGTTTAGTCATGTCAGTGTTTAGTAACTGTGACAAAGTCTTGTTTCCTCTTTTGATGCTGCGGCAGCTGCTGCAGCTTTTCCTGCATCTTCTTACTGTTGTTCATGTGTTTATTGCACTTGGGTCTGTTTTATGGACTTGGATCCCAAGGATGCTAGGCAAGGTACAGGATGAAACTATGTCTCCTGTCCTGAGGAGCTAGCAATGTAAGAAATGGGAGAAAAGTGGCAGACAGAGCTGCTCCACCAGGCAGTGACAGTCTGCAACAGGAGAAAACAAACAGTACGTTCTCTCCGTTCAGCCTGAAAAACAAGGATGGGTGGCAGCACTCCCTTCACACACACCCAAATCACTCTGAAGAGAGACTTTTCTCCTCTTCTCCACAGTGCTAAGACCTAAGGACAGAGCACCTCAAGGCAGGAGATAAAACGCTTGTAGAGGGGTTCAGCGGCTTCTGTGGTAACGATGAACAGAGCCCCTGCGAGAGAGGTGACAGAAAGAAGGCTCTGTCACCGGTGCCATCAGCCTTGGCAGAACACACCCAGGGCTGCCCGAAGTTTCCGTCCCTAGGCTGTGATCCCTCCAGTGCACGTATCAGCATTCTTGTACTCGGACACGTTGCCGAACTGAAACCAGTGGGACTGAGTGCTGAAATAAGAGAGTAATAATTTAATTAACCCTGTTTCAGAAATGAAACACACAATGCCATATCATTACAATTCTTACTCTGCTGATGCTTTGTGGTATTTACCCTAATGCTACCCCTGGAGACTGAATTCCCTCACCAGTCTCCCTGTCATCTTTAATAAACACTGACCATACATTAGCAATGAGATGATGTTGTAATTCAGAATAAGACAGGCTTTGTGCATATGTCTTTTTGTTTGTTTTTACTGAATTCCATTTAATCCAATTGGATGTTGCTTTTTAAACAGCATGAGTCAACTGAATTTATTTTTAAGGAAGTCTGCCTGAGGAAGAAAAAACTTAAATATTAATAATAGCTGAATTTGAATACATTACTCAGCAGAAAAATCTTAACAAGGCTTTAGTTTATTCTGCAAGTGACTTCACTAGTTGTTTTTTTAAAGCTTGGAATTTTGTATAAATCTTCCCTTCTAAATAGATGAAACAAACAAAATGTAAAATTCATCTCCATAAAGCACAACAAAATAATAATTTCCAGATGGGCTTCCTCATGGAAGATCAAAGTCTTCCATCTCAGACTCAGGAAACTTCCCCTCCATGCTGATACCAGTTCTGTCTGAATACAGTTCATTCAACATTTGCTTTTTTCAAAATGGCAATTATCTAGATGAGGCTGCAGAACACTCTTAGAGCTGAAGAAAATAGGAAAGATTTTTTACTAAAAAGAGTAAAAAAAATTCTGGGTAGGTAAGGGAGGAGGACGAGTCTTTCTCACTTTGATTTATACAAAAGTAGACATTTCAATACTGAAAAATGCCAGCTTCACATGCAGAGATGAAATAAGCAGAAAAGAGTTGGTTTTGCATTGTTGCAACTGGTTTGGACAAACTCCCTGCCATGCATCTGATTTTAAACATCAGCCAAACTAGTCGTGTGGCTAGAAAATAACAGGTTAATGTTTGTCCATAAATGTTTTATGCATCTGTGCATTTTGAGATATTACTTCCAAGAAGCAGCAGCTTCTACAGAACACTCATACTCATAGATTGTCTGCATTTTCAGCTTAGCGGGGCCATAGAGTTTGGTGTAAGTCCTTCTGTTTCTGAAGTTCAGCCACTGCTAGTAGATGTACCCATCACTCTGAATTGTGTTTCTGTATTTTAGTGTATACAAAACAGATATACAAAATGCCCGTTCATTTCATCAAGCCTGGGATTTTCAAAAGACTGAGGGAGTCAAATTTCCCAGTCCTATTCATTCACTTAGGAGTCTGCCTTTCTGCCTTTTGGAGGACACTAATTTCACTCTCCATCTCTCACGCACACATATTTTCATGTTGTTTTCCTCTCTCTACTTACATGCTTGCACACAAACACTCACAATTCAATATTTTTGTCTCCTTGGTGCCATGCAGGACATGCCTTTTTGGCTAAAAGGGCTGCGAACACACAGCCCGAAATACTAATGCATCTCAGCAATGCCTAGTCTTTCACCTTGGAAAGCTTAATCTGCTTTTCTGTGACCGCTTTTGCCTGTCCACCATTAATGTGAAATACCAAAAAGCTCCACAAGACAAAATCAACCTATCAAAACCCACAGATGCACAAATAATATTTTAGAAAGCAATTTGTCTGAAGGTCTCTTGACAAAGGGGGTTATGGAACTGAAATGTAATTACCTTGGCATTTAAGTTTCTATTTCCACCACGTGGTTTGGGCTTCACATATTTGATTGCAAAGTTTTATCATTCAAAACAGCCTATAGGTCTCTTTCTCATTGCAGACACGAGGCAAGTACAGCCATCTCCACCATGGTCCTACGACCAGTCCTACCAGTACCTGGGCTCCATTGCCACCCCCTCCGTGCACCCCGCCACACCAATATCACCCGGCAGGGCTAGCGGCATGACATCCCTCACCGCAGAGCTTTCAAGCCGGCTGTCAAGTAAGTACCTAAAAATTAGTCCCCTCACATGGGGTCTCACCAAAGCCCAGAGGCTGACTCCAAAAGCAAACTGGTTGCGGTGTCATAGGGTGTCATCGTGGCTTTCCTCACAGAATCACAAAATTATTGAGGCTAGAAAAGACCTCTGAGATCATCAAGTCCATTCTCCAGTAGCAGTGAAGCCTATTGTGGGCCTTCTGCAGCAAACCTTTTCCAAAGCTTTGCTGGGATTTGCGCAGAGTAAAGAAATATGATTTGGAGCCCAATATATGGTTGTCAGAAAAAAAGAAAAGGAAAAAAAAGAAGAGAAAGCAGCACTTTGAAGATGTATGGAACTATAAAAATAGTTTGGAGCGCTAAAGAGCTATCATACCTGCCAAGGAATGAATGCCAGGGATATTTCAGTTCTGTTTCCTTCCCTCACTCTAAATTCAGACCAGAGCACAGTAGGTTACGGGTGGACACACTGACTGCAGTATGGTGGGTTTTGACATTTTAAGTGTTGCACTGGATTGTCTTGTTACATCTTTGTCAAATTGTACCGCAGGGCTTTACAAGCCAACATAAAAATATAGCATGGAAGTGAAAGCTACTCGCCTGGTTTCCGCCGTATTCAGCTGACCATGTGCTGATTTTAACCCACACATATTGAACCAGTATGTGTGTGTTCAATAACAGGAATTTTCTTAAAATGAATGAGAGCCATATAATTCAAATTTGCACATGGCTTTTTCAAAAACATCTTCTCTGGCCTCACATATTGCTCTCATTTGAATACTCAGGGCTTCGTCTAAGATCAGAGAGAATCGCTTGAATGTGCTCCAGCCTGTGCTATTGTTGTCATATAGATCCTCCTTTGAAAGCGTCACAGGGATGATGCCCACCAAAAGTCAGTTATTTGTTAGGTCTAGGTGCTACTTACATCTGAAAATATAGGAAACTTCTCAGAAGGAAAAAAAAAAGGACATTTCTTGGTTTTTTTAAGAAAAAATATCTATACAATTCTCGTTCTTCATTGACACACTTCTTTTAAAATGAAAAGTCTCGTTTTTACTTTCTCTCTCCTCTTTGTTTCCCTCCCTTTGCACTACTTTCCACTGGCAAAATGCAGACATGGAGAAAATGGAGAAGGATGAAAAAGATCTTTCTTCCTAGCAACCAGAAAATTTCAAGTAGTCTTCTCAAGTAAATTATTTCATCAAGTTTTTTTTACTTAGAAAAGTAATGCTTCTTGACAGAAATGTTTGAAATCACTATTTACCATTGATTTTCAAATCCTATACAGGGGTACCTGGTGCATGTGTACTTGTAGGTGTGGATACGTGAATCAGACTGAGTGTTAATCACATTTAGCCTTTACCAGTGTGGCGACTAAGGTTGCACTCAAATGAGCGAACACACTCCATGTTGAAACATGGTATTTTTGGTGTTGCCATAGTGCCCCAACGTCACGGTGTACCAGGGCTCTTCTTGCACTGTGAGTGCTATGAGCTTCAAAGGTTTCCATCAGAGCTGCCCCCAGGAGGGCACAGACTGACAGACGACAATCATATACGCGTGGAGGAACTGCACACTCTGTTTCTTTTATGGCATGTGGTGACCATGGAGGTAGAGCATCAGCACTGGGGCTTGTTGGTGTTTTTCGTGCCCACAGTGAAAGTGATTTACCTCAGGGCAGGCATAGTTTCTCCATGATTGTGAAGGAATCTAGATCTTTGTTCACGTGTCAGCATTCTTTCTTTCCTGTCTTAATTCTGTACATAGGGGCTCATCTCTAGATATTTTAAATGTTTTTTTTTATAATGCTTCTGAAATGTTACTTCTATATTAAATGTCATTAAGTATTCCCAGAAAAAATCTTTGACAGCATTTTCTCCCCAAGCCCATTACTGTTACACATGCCTGCTATCTGTGCACAAAATTTCTCATTGTCAGAACAAAGAGCAAATTTGTGGGTTTTTTGGGCCATACCGTGGAAAGACACAATACCTCAAAAGAAAAACCAGATATATGGGACAGACATGAAACACATTGACATTAAATCTCAGTATTCTGCTTTTTGCCAAACTGGGCAGAAGAAACCCTCACCTGGTAAGTGATGCATCCAGGCAGTTTCAGAAATTTTGATTTCTTTCTCAGAATGAGGTGTGGAAGTACCATTTAAAATCTGGCAAATTGTTAGATGCCACCTTCAACCTTAGCTACTCTGAAGTTCCTGCCACACTGTAGTGTACCTTGCCATGTTAGATCTAAAGGTGCTGGCGTCTAGGAGAAGGAAATGTGTTCAGGGGTCCCATTAATCTTCCAGAAAAACATAGAAAGCAAACTCAAAACGAAGCACACAGCATGCGTCAGAGCTTTTCTAAGAAATTTATAGAAATTCATCAAACTGTGCTGGCTGTATCGTTGACGAGCTTTCAGAACTTGGCGCTGGAGTGTGTCTGCTCTAGCTTTAAATCTGGTCAGAGCCAAGAGCTTTGTTTTCTCTCTGCTTCTTCTCATGAGTATTTCCTTCAGCGCATGGCTCCTCTTCTGCAGACTCCACGCCTTGTCTTCTGGAAAATTTTTTCTTAATTATTATTGTTGTTATTTTAATCACGCATAGCTGCCAACTCTAGGGACTGACATCCTCCATTAATCTAAGTCATGATGAAGATCCTTCCTAAAGAGGCCATTATCTACTCCACTTGTTTAATCCTTGCACACCACGGAAGGAGACGATGGGACTGGGCATACTCCCACTGATGTCAGAGAAAGCGGAGCAGAATTTGACTGTTCTATAAACATTTCACTTAGCAAGATGAGAAAGGCTTCTAGCACATATGAAAGGAAGAAAGAAGGCCAACCAAATATATCAAACTGCTTCAAAAAGGCAGTACTTTTGTTGGTTTTTTGTACATACTCATTAGAGCCAAGATTTTCAGAAGCTAGTAACAATTACGTAGACATTCTATGAGGACCCAGATACGAAGACCTTAAGTGAACCTGATGTATCTTTACTGTGCTACTGTTGAGAGTCAATGCAGATCTGTTGCTCCCGAGTGCTGAGGGCTGGGCTGAGTCTGTGTATGTAAACCCTGCCTGTGCACGTTCGTGCACCTAAAGGACGATCTCTGCTCCAGGGAGCTTCCCATTTGAGTTGGCAAATAAAACCGTGTGTGAGGAGAGACTATGCAGAAGCTGGACAATTCATATTTAGGCCCCATCACTGTGCCTGGTGAGTCAAGTGCTGCTGGCCAAAGAGCTTAAGATCTGTGTCCCTCCTTCCCACTCACCTGTTGAGGACAAGGACACTCTGGAAGTTTAAGTAATTGCATGTCCTGTAAGGTCTCTAAGAACGAACACATACACATACAAAACAGGGCGGGAGCTTGGCGCTCCTCTTTAATTGCCGCTTTACTGAAATTAATCCAAAACATCCAGATCTGCGAGCATTACAATGACCCTGTTAAAGAGCAGGTGAGGGACAGCTCTGCTCTGGCTGCTTTGTAGACGTGGATTTGGATGTTGATTATTGCCCTTGAACAGGTGAACCTCCATTCTGCCAGCTCACCAGTTCTCTGTCTCTCTTCCCCACCACCCAGGTGCTTCTGACCTGACTGCCTTCAGTGACCCCCGGGTGGGAATCGACCGCTCCTTCTCCACGCTCCCCTCAATCTCTGACCCTCGGATGCACTACCCGGGAGCGTTCACCTACACGCCAACGCCCGTCAGTTCAGGGATAGGAATCGGTATGTCTGCCATGTCCACGGCCACGAGATACCACACTTACCTCCCACCTCCCTACCCTGGCTCCTCACAGGCCCAGGGCAGCCCGTTCCAGACCACGTCACCCTCCTACCACCTCTACTACGGAACCTCCGCCGGCTCCTATCAGTTCTCCATGATCTCGGGGGGAGACCGGTCCCCGCCTCGCATCCACCCTCCCTGCACCAACGCCTCCACGGGATCGACGCTCCTCAACCCCAACCTCCCCAACCAAAGCGACGTGGTTGAGGCAGAAGGGAGCCACAGCAACTCCCCCACCAACATGGCAACCACAGGGAGGCTAGAGGAAGCAGTGTGGCGACCATACTGAACGAATTTTAAAGAGTCACGGGTCAGGACTAAATGTGCTTTCTTGGTGCCCGCAGGTCTGGCTTATGGGCCCTGCTGAGTTCATACATCCCTTTCGGAAACAAACCCTTCAGAAGCCAGCGCTCCCAGGGGTGCGGGCGTGTAGTAGCTGCCTCTGGCAAAGCCACGTCGCTCCAGCAAAGCATCATTCCCTGCTGGGCAGAGCTTCTGGGAAGGAGGACGCCCAAGTTGGTAGTCCGGAGGTCATGAGGGTGGGTTAGAAAGGTACCCGGACTGTTTCCAAGCCCGTGGCTTTCTAACATGCCTGGGCTTGAAGGTCTCCACAGCCCAAAAGAGAGTTTTGGTTCAGTTCTATTTTTAAGACTTAAAATCTAACAAAAAAAAAAAAATCTTAGTGAGTTTACTGCATCTTATGGACATAATAACTGTAAGGAAGTATAGGAAGATTCCCAGAGGGAAACTGTGAACGCTTCTGTTTTAGCAATGCTGTGAATGAGAGGTTTTACATGTTGGACTTCATTCTTTCTTTTTTTTTCTTTTTTTTTTTTTTTAACCACGTTGTATATTCCAAAGAATATGGAATTTTTTATTGCTGGGGTTTTTTTTGTTTTGTTTTGGGTTTTTTTTGTTTTGTTTTTTAGGATGCAGCTCATCCTGCTTTGCATCTAATTTGTTTTACTTCTCTTGGCACCTTATAAATTGCAAAAAAAAAAATTTTCCCTTAATTTTTTTAAACATGCTTGCTTCTTTCTTGCTTTGTCAACTGAAAGAATCAGCCCCTTTTTCAATGATTTAATTTAACTTTTTTCTCTTGGACTTTTTTTTCAAATACAGCCTTGGGTCATTTTCAACTACTGTACTACTTTTATGAGTTCATTGATATTTATGCTTGATATTTAGACTTTTCTTATTTGTTGATACTATTATTATTTAAATATGCCTATATTAAAAAAGATCAGCAATTGCCTTTCTTGGTAGCAGCCAAAGTCAAATTTACCACATTGAAAACGGCTGGAACAATGATGGGTAAAGTGACTTCCTAATTATCTAGAAATACTGTTTACAATTATTTCACTCTCATTTTACACAGTTAACTGGGCTCAGATCGTCAAAGGCATTTAGGTGCCCAACTCCCAGTGAAACGATTTTGGTACCAAAATCCCTGTGACTTTCTGTGCCTTCCCAGCCAGTGGAGTCATCTCTCTCTACTCTTTCCTCACGTTTCTTTTGTCACCGGTGGTGATCCTCAGGATCAGTAACCAGAATGTACATATTTCATAAGGCAGGCTCAAAAATTCCTGACTAAATACATCCCATTATTGGTCTGTTCTGCTCCCGAGTTTGCCCAGGCTTCCCATGAGCACCAGTGGAGGCCTCCTAAGTCTTTCAAAAGTGAAAGCCAGCACGCAGTTATCAGGGCAAGGGTAAAGTCCTGGGTCTGGTGGACTCAGTGTGACATTTGCTCCCAGCTCAGCAGAGCCAAGATTTCTGCTTGGTACAAAACCCTCGTTCAACTGTGCTGGAGAACAGATCAGTTCATGCATCACACTCAACCTCAACAGGGTCCTTAAGCTCACTTGGAAAGTCATCTAGCAAAGAAGGGGCCTTAACGGTTCTTCTGTCACCATCTTCCGAGGGAAGAGGAAGGGTATTTAAAACTGGTGTGCCCAATATCCAGCACTGCAGCAAATATGCAGGGCTTATACCAACAGCATGTTTAATACAGAGTCGTCATCGTTGCCCATCGTTACAGCACAGACATATCAGATGTCACTGTAAAGTTTATAGCACTATTTTAGTTGAGGTTTTGGTCTGAGTGCAGTTGTTGTGCTACTCATTAATTACATACTGCTGATGTTGACACTTGTGCGTTCCAAATTAGCTGATTATTATTTAATGTACCTCTTAAATGAGTGAAACAATTGCAGGTCAACTCAGAGAGTATTTGAAAGCAGGACTTCAGATCGGTGTTTGACGTTTAAAAAAAATTTAAAGGATTCAAATTAAAAAGATCCTTGGCTGCAGGCAGCAAAACAGCTGGACTTATTTAAAACCATTTGTTTTTCAAGTTTTCTTTTTTTAATATGATTTTGCTTCTTTGTTTAAGTCAGATGCAGTAGCACTTTGGTATTGAAAAGTTACAAATTGAAGAATTTACATTGTTAATAAGGTCATTTTTGTGCAGAAAATAGGGAGTGTTTCAAGAGACCTCAGCAGAAGTTCAAAATGTTTCTGTTAAAATACATGCATGGCCTTGTGCCTTTTGTTTAGTGTAATATTCTTTAGAAATGTCTAGTGTTTGCTCTTAACAAAAAAGGCAGAAAACATCAGAATTGTATCAGAACATTAAAAAGTACATTTTGGAAGTATGGAGACCTTGCTGAACATGGAGGTGCAGAGATCCTACCTGTTTGTGACATTTACGTAGTTGAAATCTCACCTCTTCAGTAGCCTAAAAAAAATTCCTTCATCACTAAACAGTAGCTCTGTTTCAGAATCCACCTTACACATTCTCTGTCACTGTGTGACTAAAATCACCATTTACTACAGCTCTTGCATCTGCCTTGTGACTGGACCACCTAAGCTCATAGTAGCATGAGCTACCCAGAGATGAGGATGAGGAGAAGAGCTCAAAGGAGCCAGATGTGTCACTGCAGAGGGCAGGGCTGCCGTGGCCAGGTCGCTTCAGCCCCACGGCAGAAGTGAGGTTGATGTGGTTAACACGCTCCCAGGCCATAGTCCAATTCCCAAAAAAACCCTTTGACCCTCTTAGCCCATCGTACTGTATTACCACACTTTCAAAACGAAAAGAAAAGGAGTTCACGAGAACAGAGAGCCGGCATCTCATAGCCTGGAGATTTGACCTGACATTGAACATTTCTCATGTCTACACATCTACTTTCTTTACACTTGTCCTAAAGGTGGAGTTTAATTTTACTCTCCCTGGTGTGGATTGGATGGGCAACTGCAGAACTGGTCACCACATTTACCCTCTGTCTTAACTGACATGTAACAAAACACAGGGATTCCCCAGTGTCCCACTTAATTGTCAGCAACTGAACTTTTGAGTCTGACCTCTCTGTGTATGCCAAACAGAGCACAAGGCAGCACCCTCTTCACAGAGGAAAAGCTAAGTTCATTATCCCTTGCAGTTAGTCTGTTTAATCACCATGAGTTTCAGTGTATTCACACAAGTGCTTATGAGAAGCCACAGTTCACTCAAATCAATATTTTTGTAGCCATCCTCTGACCCACTAAGGACAGCAAAGCTCTTCAAGGCTGTGAAAACTTCTCATGTCATTCCTCTTTTATCTCAAGAGTACTTACCAGGCAGAAAGAGTACATTTCAATAAAACATTTTCCCCCATTCACTCGTCTCCAAATTACAGTATGTATTTTTATATGTATATTATATATATATCATTTCTATAGTTTTATCATCCTGGTGACTGAATGGAATAATAATAAAAAAAGAACTGTCACGATTCTGTTTGCAAGCTGGAGCCTTAGATACCTTCCCTTACCAAAATACAGCTCATGGCAGTGCTCACTATGGGCTTGCGTGTTCCTTTCACAAGAGACAACAGATAAACCAACTTCAAAGTAAATATAAGGGCCTGTCTCTCATTTGCTCTAAGGCCCATTGCTTTGCGCTCAAACAATGCTTTTGCTCATTTCCACACACTTCCAGGGTGACATACAGGAGCTTCAGAGCAAGGGGGAGGCAGATGCAGAGTGCATCCCTGCTACAAAGGGTCTGATTTGTAGAATTATTCGAAATTATCTGCTGGAAAGGAGAAAAACCCTTTCCTCCAAATGGCCACCAGCCTCTGTCAGAGCGTTCCAAACTGCCTGCACTCTTGAAACATTCATTACTGCTTTCTGGGTGACCTTTTCCATTGGTGCATTTGAAGATTCAGAAGAAGTGGATCATTCTTCTATTCAGGCAAAACACTTGCTAGTTTTCCTGCATCGTAACATTTTCATATTTTATTTTCGTTAACCTTGCTTGGTCAGTACCGATCACTTGGCATTTTTCTCCTTGTCCTAAAAGGGTTGCATCAACAGAGTTACTTGTATTTATGTATGTAAATAGATTTCAAAAGCTTCATAGCAAAATATTTAGTGCTTGTAAGTACTCTGCATTTTTTTTTCATTTTTCTGTGTTTTTAATGAACTTACCTTTGTGTTCGCTTAAGTACTGTAGTGAGACTTATTTGTTTCCGAATTAGTTATTTTAGGCTTCAAGATTAACTACATTTTATTCACTTTGGTAAACAGTTATAGCATGGTCTCTATTCAACATTCTTCACTCTTTTGTGGTAGGGGAGAAATGGACGAGCAAAAATCTGTGGGTTTTTTGTGGTATTCTGGCTTTTGACAGTTACATCCTTCTTTAAAACAAGAACGAAACTTTCAGTCTGAGGTGGCCGAATGGTAAGTCTGAGAGGAGGACACAGCAAGAGACACACTCCTATCAGAATGGCATCAAAGTGAATTTGTTCAGCATTTACTGGCGATGTTTACAAAACACACACTGCAGCACCCTGCAACAGTCACATTTTCCCTTGATGCTGTCATGCTGAATATTTCCAGAAGGGGAAACTGCCAGGTTCTGGAAGTTTGCTTTTTTGGTTTTGATTGCAGGGGATTTTTCTTTCGGGGGCAGAAGTTGAGGGGGAGAGGGGTGACGGGCGCTGTCATTTTCTGGAACCAGATAGGAAAAGAGAACAGAGTAGATTTTTCCCCCACTACAGGAAGTCTCTAGATACCACGTCAGAGTAGACTCTTGCTGTACATAGGGATGGCTGTGTCCAGCGCCACAGGAGAATTCATTACAACTAGCACACAGAGCAGCTGGACTGCTGCGTTAGTTCTAATGAAGACTTTCTTTCTTTCTTTCTTTCTTTCTTTGTACCACATTTTCCTCTGTAAATTCAATATCATAATTAGTGTGAATGACAAATAAAATGTTTGACAAGTATGCACACTGGCCTGGTG